TTAAATATTAATATTATTATTAAATATTAAGGGGGGGGAGGGGGGGGTCCAAAAATCGTATACTAGAAATATACCAAAGGCAGAGGGGGAAGGGACAAGCTTAGCTTTAAAGGATAAATTAAAAGTGAAATTAAAAGTTTATACAGTTACAGATTCATGCTTTATTTTAGTCCTAAACGTCACTGTAGTATAACTGCGTATTTTGAATCGAATTTCTCTATAAAAATATCCTTTAAAATTTTATATATATAGTATTAGATATATTAGTTTTTATCAGTTACAAATCCCTTTGTTAAAATTATGCGAGACAACGAAGACGATAATCATTTCACTGCTTTTTAGTATCACATGTATGTCTATTATATCCTTACCCTGCAGTGGTTTCAATCCAACTAATACAACACACTTGCACCCTCTAGGCTTAAAAAGATAATTTCGCAATGATTTTGCCAGATCTGATATCTTTGCAATATCTGATAAAGAGCTTTATGTTTGATTTATTAACAATATGTTGAGATTAGATTGCACATTGCATTTATTGGATTAAAAACGTGTTAAAAAATTATACTATATCGGGGGTTTGTTCCATCTTGCGTAATATCGTTCCTTTGACCTTTCCTCTCAATCAGTGTAGTGCAGTTCCTTTCATATGCATAACTTAATGTAATCCGTTCTCAGATTCAGTTTCCAGAATGTTCCAATCAATTTTCTTCAGCTAAAAAGTGTTAAAATTTATACTATGTATGATTCCTGTCATATGCATAACCCGTTCCAATCCGTTCCAATCCGTTCTTAGATTAAGGTTCCAGAATGTTCCAATCAATTTTCTTCAGCTAAAAAGTGTTAAACTTTATTCTATTCTAAACATTATAATCTTTCTCAAACATTCATTCTTAACTTAAATAGTTATTTATATATTTATACAATATTTATCACTATAGGCATGACTAAACAATAAATAGTACTTTGCACACTATTTCTGTAGTGCATATATAAACATCTATATATAAATTTGGTTTGTTTGTCTGTTTGTTTGTTTGTATCCAATAAACGTCAAAACGGCTGAACCGATCGGGCCCAAATTTTTTGTGGGACATCTAGGGACTCCAGGGAAGGTTTATGAATCATCAAAATTTCAAATATTTGTCTCCATCAAAATTCGATCGTCATTAAATTTTTTAAAATTTTGAAAATCCGCGAAATTTTTTGTGAAAATCCGCGAATTATTTTTGTTTTGTTTTACGATGTACACAAAGAGAACATGTTCACAATTAATTTAGAAGATGGGCGCGAAGCGCCCTCTAAGGCTAGAAAGAAGGGCGCGAAGCGCCTTGAATTTCTAGTATTATATATTTTTTCCTCAGTATCATCATTTTTACGTGAATGCAATGTTGTAACATGCATGTTTAGATTATCGTTGACAAGAGATGCATCAATTGATCCCAAGCAAATCAAATAATTTTCTTATAAATATAATGTACAAATAACTCAGTGTTTGATTACAAGAAATTAAAAAAAAAAAATTTTTGCATAGATTTTTGCATAAATCCATATTTGGTCAAAATACTTTTCAGCTTAATATATTGTGAACAAAGATTAGAATGGATTGTAAAGTTGCAATATAAATTTTCATAAAAAGAAAATAATTTAAGCAACAATAATTAACTTATTATATGTCTTTATACATTTTTAAAGCTAAATGGCTTGTTTCATGAGGCTGAAAAAAATATTATGCTGTTTATTGCCCTTAATAATAATAATAATGAAAAATATTATTGTTAGAGCAAGAGTTATAAAACATTCAATAATTTTATAATTTCTTTCAGAAAAGAATTCCTATATTAATTTGAGCCGCGTCTTAAATCCACCAAAAACCAGTTTCAATTGAGCGCCGACTTACATCTTAAAACATTTAATACAATTTTAAGTGGAACCCACTATGTTTGAGCTGCGTTTCAAATTTAAGCCACGGCTCAAATTCTTAAATTTCGGCCTAAAGATGCATAAAACATAATAATTGCGGAATTTTTAAAAAGTATCATTGCTCATACCAGCGTTTTATAAATGTTTTATGAATACAATCTAATTAGAATGAGCCCGGTTACTAAAAAGCTTACATAAGCAGTATATCCAATAAACATACTCGTTTCAGATTCAAGATTAGAATTACAAAACATTTACTTTTGCAATTTGATAATGCTCTATTACAATTCAGAAGGGAGTGAATACTCAGGAAATTGTACAGGGTAGCCCATATTTAAAACTTTTCAAAGACCACGATTGAAAAGTTGAATTGTTAATTTTACCCCGAGTATGGATGGTGTTCGTATAAGTATAAAGTACAATATATCAAATCAATAAAATCCCCCCCCCCCCCNGGGGTGGGGGGGGGCAAAATTTGAACGGTAAATTCAAAACATTTGGCTTCTTGGATGTCAGCTAGCTAGGCATAAGTATAAGATACTTTAAAGGAACACATACAGTTCAATTACCTTGCATGAACTATACTTTTATCTCTCCTTCAACCAAAACTAGCAGAACAAAAAATTGTTTCTAAAAAATCGACATTATTATGCTGTTATGTTTGTAATAATTAGTATTTGAACTAAAGATAGTAAAAGACATTTTTGAAAATGAAAAACCTGACTTAAACTTAAATTCTATGAGATGAAAAAAGGACAAAGGTCCAGAAAAAAATTATGACTTGTAAAAGTTTCTGTTTTAAAAAAAAGTAAATTTTTAAAATCCTACGGGCAACGCCTGAAACTTCAGCTAGTTTGTAATAAAAAGAAAGTTTACAAAACAGCCAAGCCAAACATTAGGATGAATGTGCATTCTAAATAGATTTTTTATTCAGACTTCTGTCATGGTGGCTCTGGTCTACTAATACAATCTTCTTAGTGCACTGAATGAACTATTTTTTTATGTTCTTCACTCTTGAGTCTAAGATTTGAAAAATGTGACAGCTCTGAATTCTTGGGGTTACAGGTCGAGGGGGCACTGCCCCCCTTGCCCCCACCCCTATATACGCCCTAGAGGATGGAACACATAAAATTTAATAAGAGTTAAAGGGAGGAGCAAGAATTATTACGAATTATGAATTATGCATGATATGCTAAATTATTTGACGAATAAAGAATCTATCTGAAGACATATCTTTTGTAAATACATACACAACTTACCGTTGGTCTAAAAATAACCTATATTAGCACAAATGTTGTCAAAACAACATAACAACTTGAAAAAGTCATCTTGTGGAAAATATGGTATTTTCATGAGACCACACAGCTCTAGCTGTACGTAATTAATCATACATTTTTCGCTTTTTTTATAAACTTTTATTCGTCGGATGCGTTTTAAATAGAAAATTTTAAAAAAAGAACTCTGTAATGTATGAATTATAAACAAAAACAAGATTAAAATTCTAAATGAAGAAATCTTACATATTTAGCCCTGGTTAGTTCAGGGTGAAAGGAAAAGTCCCACAAAACATGACATAATATAATATGTCAAGTTGTTTGTTACCAAAGAGAATAATAATAAATATTCTATGGCATCAATATTTTAGTAAAATTGATTTCTAAGTAAAATATATTTGAGTTTTTTAAACTAAATAAACTGCAAAAAGTCTTTAATATCTAATACAGCATATGGTAGAAGACATCTAAACTTTTCAAATCAAATCAAATCAAATCTTTTATTATGCCACAAATTATACAATGTACATACATATAAATGCTAATTGAAAATAACAAACAATTAAAAGTATATTGTGGCCGGGGAGCTACAAGATAGCTCAGGCTGTTTACACATGAGCTCCCCTGGTTCAGCATAATATAGATAAGATTTAAACAATTTTCTATGTGCATGAATGGAGCACATAAATGGCGGAGTGTAGCAGCGGTGGCGGTTGGAGAGCAGGAGGTGGAGAAATGGCATCAAACTAATCAGTCAGGAATAAAAAAGTTAAGGGCTCAATAATGTTTTAGTTGGTTCTTGATCAAGAAACATTTTTAATACATGTTATTTTGATCAGGATAAAAGATCAAAATAAGCTTAATATTTCTTTTGACAAAATACACATATATGATAATTCAATATATGTATTGAATAAGCACGAATAAATATGAACTGAGCTGAAAACTTTAGAATGGGATATCCTTAATCCTGATCGGATAATTAATCTGGAGATTAAAAATGAGTGGAGAACAAGCAATATTTAATCTCGAGATTAAGAAAAAGAGTGGATTAAGCCTTAATCCCGATATCCACCATTCTAAAGTTTTCAGCTCAGATCATATTTCAGACCATAAAAACCTCAACCTAATCTAAGTATTTAAAGTTGAACAAGTATAGCAAAATAGCCGGTTGCATTCAAAGTCCGATAATCTATCCAGAAAATGTTGCTTCAGTTTATATTTAAATTCATTTTTGCTAGCAATACAAGACAAATCCAAGTTCATTCCAACAGGTTGTGAAGGAATACAGAGGAAATCTGGGTCAAGTTCATTCCAACAGGTTGTGAAGGAATACAGAGGAAATCTGGGTCAAGTTCATTCCAACAGGTTGTGAAGGAATACAGAGGAAATCTGGGTCAAGTTCATTCCAACAGGCTGTGAAGGAATATAGAGGAAATCTGGGTCAAGTTCATTCCAACAGGCTGTGAAGGAATATAGAGGAAATCTGGGTCAAGTTCATTCCAACAGGTTGTGAAGGAATATAGAGGAAATCTGGGTCAAGTTCATTCCAACAGGTTGTGAAGGAATACAGAGGAAATCTATTTGAAAATAAATTTTTACATCTGGGATTTCTTAAGGGGTATTGATGCGTTTCAAAATCAAGATTTCTGGGGAACATTGGATCCATAAAGAAAGAGGAGTGTAACTGAAAGCTATGGAGTGCATGAATGTAAGTTTTTGATGAAGAATAAGGTCCGGGAAAGGGAGTATTTTTAATTCATAGAATAATGGTTCAGAATGAGCATTATATCTAGATTAAGCGATTGTTCTAATACATCTTTTTTGTTTAAGGCTCAGAGAATTAATATTTTTTAGACTGGGACAGCTTACAACTGGTAGACAATATAAAAAGTGAGGATGGACAAGAGCATGATAAATACTTTTTAGATCTGAGGTCGAGAGAAAATTTTTAACCTTATTCAAGGAAAACATTGACTTCGAGATTTTATTTATAGCAGTTTTAATATGATAATCAAAAGTGAGGTTTTCATCAACGTAGACACCAAGAATTTTATAAGCAGGACAGGGGACAGAATTGTTATGAATTCTCTCGATAGGATAAACCAATTTAGGGTCGACGGGTACATCAAAATCATTATTATTGAAGAAAAAACTGGCATTAGGAATAATTTTACCCTTTGGATGAAATATCATAATCTTTGTTTAGAAGCATTTATTGCAAGTTTGTTAGAACGAAGCCAAATACCAAGATTTTGAAGCTCAGTATTTACAAATGAAACCAACTCATCAAAGTTTTTCCCCTTGCAAAGACCCGATGTATCATCAGCAAAATGTATATTCAATAATTTGTTAGAAGAGTGCATATCATTTATAAAAATAAGGAAAAGAAGAGGTCCCAGGATCGAGCCTTGCAAAACTGAAATATTAATCATGACAAAAAAGTCCGAAAGAGTACCATTTACCGTTACAAACTGTCACCAACTGTCATGTTTCGTGGGACACCCTGTATGTATCGCAATGTACGGCCATGAAGCAAAGTACCGGATTACCTGTAAACAATGAGACTGTGAAGACGACCTGAATATTTCAAATATTAATTTACGTTATATCGCGCTTATTTGATGATTTAGCTATAAAGAAACCAGTCTAGATTCGCAGGAAATCATGAATATAAGGGAATAGGGAGTATAAATTCCGTACAGTCGTTTATAGCTTAGTTAGGTCCTGCTATCGAATATGAAAGGTGTATTTACACCATCAGGTTGCTAGATATATGGCTTCTGTTTGATTTTTGACAAAGACTTAATTACTTTCCATCTATAAAGAAGAATAATTATGTATTCTTTGATAAAACAACAGTTTTGTAAGGGCACCGTTGTAAATCGAAGATACGACTTTGTAAATGGATAAACTGGTTAGCATACAGTCCTTTCAAGTTTAATACAAATATTATATCCAATTCTAGCGTAGCAGTTCTTTATCAATGCTTTCATAAATACGTGTCAAAATGATATAAAGTGCCATACACCCGGGGGGTAATATTACCCCGGACGCTATTTAACAAGATCAAAGTATTACACTAAATCTATTTTTCAATTAAACTATGATTAGTTATAGGTCATTCAATCCGCTTATTTCTTATCTTATGTTGTATTATTAGATATTGAGCACATGGAAAATATGATTCAGTATTTAGATATTGAGCACATGGAAAGCATAATTAATTATTGAGATATTGAGCATATGGAAAACATAATTAAGTATTTAGATATTGAGCACATGGAAAATATAATTAAGTTTTTAGATATTGAGCACATGGTAAATATAATTTAGTATTTAGATATTGAGCACATGGAAAATATAATTAAGTATTTAGATATTTAGTACATGGAAAATATAATTTAGTATTTAGATATTGAGCACATGGAAAATATGATTCAGTATTTAGATATTGAGCACATGGAAAGCATAATTAATTATTGAGATATTGAGCATATGGAAAATATAATTAAGTATTTAGATATTTAGTACATGGAAAATATAATTTAGTATTTAGATATTGAGCACATGGAAAATATGATTCAGTATTTAGATATTGAGCACATGGAAAGCATAATTAATTATTGAGATATTGAGCATATGGAAAATATAATTAAGTATTTAGATATTGAGCAAATGGAAAATATAATTTAGTATTTAGATATTGAGCAAATGGAAAATATAATTTAGTATTTAGATATTGAGCAAATGGAAAATATAATTAAGTATTTAGATATTGAAGACATGGAAAATATAATTTAGTATTTAGATATTGAGCACATGGAAAATATAATTTAGTATTTATATATTGAGTACATGGAAAATATAATTTAGTATTTATATATTGAGCACATGGAAAATATATGGAAAATATGATTAAGTATTTAGATATTGAGTACATGGAAAATATAATTAAGTATAATTAAATATTTAGATATTGAGCACATGGAAAATATAATTTAGTATTTAGATATTGAGCACATATTTTTTCATTAATTTAGAAAATTGTGCTTTTTCCTATGTTTTATATGTATATTTATCTATGGTTCATGTTTAAATATAAAGCAGTAATCCCCGTTTGTATGTCTGTTTGTTTGTTTGTCTGATCGTAACATTGACTGATTTGCCACAAATTTGATTTGGTAAATCGGTAGAACTTCTGTTATGTTCTGAGGTTAGTTTAAAAACTTTAAATTAAGTTTAGAACATTTTGTTTCCAGGCAGAGGTGGGGTTCCTAGCTAGTTATAATATATATTTGTAAAACCTATTAGACCACGCAAAAGAACGGTATCCATGTAAAAATCTAAATACACAACATGAAAATAATATAATGAATCTTGTGTGTATTAAAAAAATATTGATTGGAATTGGAGAAATATTCACCTTAGAAATGATTAGTTGAAACCCTTGAATTAACGCTATATTTATCCTAGAAATAAACTAGAGAAATCCTATATATTTATCCTAGAAATAAACTAGGGAATTCCTATATATTTATCCTAGAAATATACTAGAGAAATTCTTAAATTAACCCTATATTTATCCTAGAATTAAATTGGAGAAAACCTTGAATTAACTATATATTTATCCTAGAAATAAAGAAGAGAAATCCTTGAATTAACTATATATTTATCCTAGAAATAAACTAGAGAAATCCTTGAATGAACCCTATATATTTATCCTAGAAATAAATTAGAAAAATCCTTGAATTAACCCTATATATTTATCCTAGAAATAAACTAGAGAAATCCTTGAATTAACTCTATATTTATCCTAGAAATAAACTAGAGAAATGCTTGAATTAACCCTATATATTTATCCTAGAAATAAACTAGAGAAATCCTTTAATTAACTATATATTTATCCTAGAAATATTGGTTGGATGTTGGGAGAAGTGAGCTGGAAAAAGCTCTACAATTATCTAAAAATGAAGGACTAGCTCGGTATGTATGAATTGCATTCAGAGAATGGTTAGAGTATAGAATGCTCATAAACAATTTGTACAGGGAATGAACATGCCTAATTAGACAACTAATTGGATCCCTTCAAATCTTAAGGGGAGTGAACGGCAATGTATGGTAGTTGAACTGAGAATGTAGTATTGTGGAGGAGTTTTTACGGATTCATTTGAGACATACACTGTAAATTTTAAAACGTAATAAAAAATCAAGAATTTTTGGAAAAGAGTATTTCTGCAGATTTTCTTGATAAATTATCCCTAAATTTTGAATATTTTGAAAAAAGCGGAAATAAAAAAAAATACACATTTTTTTATTATTTTTATAAGAAAAACTGAATGCAGAACAATATTTTTAAAACCGTTAATAATGCAAGTCATTATTATTAAGAAAAAGTGGATAAAAATATAACAATTTCAGGATACATATTCGCGCCATTTCTATTTTAGAGTAGACACCACCTAACGGCCAAATGCGGCAGCTCTGGAATCATAATTTCTGGATAAACTATTCAGATTTTTTGAATAATTTGAAAAAACTTCCACATGAATTATACACATATTAAGTTAATTAAATAAAAACACAAACAGAAAAAAACAAATTGGTAATTAAATAAGATTTATTGAATAAATACGTAAACAGTACAAAATAGCATTTGGCATTCTACTGTCCCCTACAAATCAATGTCAAAATAAGTTAATTTTTAATCAACAATGAATGAATATGTTTTTACAAAATTTTTGTAATTTTTCAAATTTCATTTGTTGAAAAAACATATCTTTTCCAAAAAACTTAATAAAAGGAAAAAATATTTTTAGTTTTCAAATAAACATATTTTTTGAATATTATATTAAAAAAATTAAATTAAGAAACAAATTTTAAAAGATATTGCTGATTTATATTTACAGTGTATGAAACGTTATAATGATGTATTAATTACTGAGTTTGAGCGCAATGTCCACGTTCAAAATCATCCATTTGGATGGTTACGTTTTAAGAATGGATTTTTTTAATTATTAAATAACGACGACAAAAAAATATATCAAAAAATATTACAGTAAACTAATTAGAGGTTTAGGAACATATTTCTCAATAGAAATTTGTCAATAAATCAATGTTAGGATAAGTTATTTCTTTTTCATCATATTAATGAATTTTTTATTCTTTATGAATTTGTTCGCAGATTTCTGCAAATTCTTCAAATGTCATCTTTTCAATAAAAATTCCAGAAAATGTTTATGAACATGAGACATTACAGAAACTAATAACTGAATTATTAGTTATTTTATCAACCTAATCCTAAACAACTAATTAGTTTACTGTCAAATTTTTCTTACATTTTTGTCGTCGTTATTCAATAATTTTAAAAAATCGATTCTCAAACGTAACCATCCAAATGGATGTCTCAACTGAATCCTAAAAATTTCTCCACAATACTAAATTCTCAGTTCATACATTGCCGTTCACTCCCTTTAATAAACTCGGCAATGCATATGGCGGGTTTTATTCATAAAAAATAAAAATATCATTATTTTTCAAAGGAGAATAAATTAATTAAATATTATAAATTTTTATAAGCTTAACTAATTTTCTGTGTTAAATTTACACTGAATTATTTAGTTGTCCTATTTTCATTTTTTATCTTCTTATCTCATCATCAATACTTTTCAGGTTTAACATTTTTTTAAATTTGAATTCGTCCTTGAGAGGGTTTTTGACTTCAAAATGACAATAAATAATTCGTTCTTTTAGTTCTCTTCCCATTGGTTTATATTTTTGTCAATACCTACAGAGACAACTATACGGAATTTATAAAGTCTCTATTCTTATCTCGATTATTAGTTTAAAACTTAAATCCTTCTTTGCTAAATGGTTAAGTTCACCTATTTAAGACTAAAGCCCAAATTTTACCTTTACATCGTCAGATTTTTCATAGTTTCAGGTCGTCATTAAAAACTTATCCTTTGTGGTAAACCCTGTATAATTAATAATTGTTTGATTAAAGGGACTGCAGTAGACGTATTTCAATTGGCCCGTCATGTCCGATTCACATAGAGTACAAGGAAACTCGAGTATACACTATGGCGTGTATAGTGTACACTGTGTACCGCGCATACTGGTGCTTAATTTTTAGCTGGAAAAGTAAGAATACCTCCTCCAGTTTAAAGAGTACCGTTGTGAATCAACATGTCATTTTAGAAATTACGTTAACAGTTCCTTTAATTAGGAATATAATCCTTGTTGTTGGAGATGGGATGAGTTTAAGCACAATATCTGCTGCTCGTGTATATAAGGCACAAACTAAATAGTAAATAAAGACCCATGGACCAAATATAGACCCAGAAAGCGAATGATCAAAACTTTAAAATTTTTTATTTCTTCACAGAGTTGATTAGTGTAAACAGGATTCCAAGGGGTAATCAACCTTACAAAGTGACCTTCCATGATAATAGCGTTTTTATTCTATTAAAGTTTATAATCGAATTCCTTATTTTTATCTTAACTAGCTTCGTAAGATTGGCTCAGTAACATTATGCCTAGTTCCCGAATGCCTAGTTCGTGAATGCCTAGTTCACTATGCCTAGATTCATGAATGCCTAGTTCGTAATGCCTAGATAACATTATGCCTAGATAACACCATGCCTAGATTCATGAATGTCTATATAACAGTATACCTATATTTCTGAATGCCTAGAAAACATTATGCCTAGATTTCATAATGCCTAGTCACCCAATGCCTAGATAACATTAGACTTAATTGAATGCCTATAGACATTGTCAAGCAATAAATAAATGATACAAATATGTTTACATGATTTATTGCATATTTTATAAAGTAGACCAATAATCTGCTCTTGGCATGCTGTCAAAAGCATCAACAACCTTTAATCTTTCTCTTGCATCTAGGGACCTCTGTTTTCTTCCACGTTGGTTGTTGTTGTTGGTTTGCGGATTTTTGTAAAAATGTTACCGTATTGTATGTTTTTTCTCTCTCTTTAATATTTTTATTTCTCTTTGAAATACATTGTCTAGGCATTTAATGCACTCTTATGTTATCTAGGCATACTGTTATCCAGGCATTCATGAATCTAGGCATTGTGTTCTTTAGGCATTATGTTATCTAGGCATTATGAACTAGGCATTCAAAAATCTAGGCATCTAGGCATTCAGAAATCTAGGCATAATGTTGTCTAGTCATTCATGAACTAGGCATAGTGAACCAGGCATTCACGAACTAGGCATTCGGGAACTAGGCATAATGTTACTGAGCCGTAAGATTTGCATCATGATTTTGCATCATCAATATTTGGCTTCAGCGCTCAGACGGCTGAACCCTAGACGATAACGCGCGCTGAATACCTCTTTTCCTTTTTTTTCGCTCATCTCTTGGCGCATTTGCAGAATATCCGCGGAATCAAACTCAACTTTACTATTCAAAATAAAAGTTTACACTTTGGATATTAAGTTCAGTAGCTGAGGCTGAGCGCTGTCCCAATCAAAAGTTTCGGCCTGCGGGGCTATGACAAGTTTTTGTTCAAAGCTGGGAATTTTTGTGTCGGATACTCACAATCTAACATTAAACATTGATCTCGATATCCATAATACAAAAGTTCCCAACTCATGGGTTTTTATATAAAGTTTGTGGTCGAAGGGTCAGCAGGAAGGACGGGACGGGTCTAGCTCCATGCTATCTTGGGAGCACTTTCCTCATCTTGGTCTCAGCAAGGTTTCCATCTTCTAGATATTAATCAAAAATATTATTCTATTGCATGGTTTCTTTGTTTTAATAATTAATTTGTCATGAGCAATCAGACTCTCAAAATAAGATATATTAATGTGAAAACAATTTTTACTGTATAACCGAGAAAAAGTACTAAGGGATTAGTTCCTAAAAATAATATAAGGCTAAGGATCAATTATACAAAATCTAATCATAAAATCGTCATTAACAGTAAATCCAGAGGTCGGTTTAATGAAGAGGGAGAATCAGGTGAACTCATAGATAAAGATAGATTGCGCATAAGACGACATTTTTCATCTTGAAAGATATAAATGTACAGAGATGTTTTAAAGATATTCCTATTATATAGATTAACTAGGTCGGTTGTGAACATTGGCTGTTCTTATGTCATTTAGTACTTGTGGTATACATGAGTTCTGTAAAAAGAAATTTAAGATAGTTTAGTCCTTCTCATGTCCTTCTTCAGTTCTCGTCAATATGATATATTGCTTAAATAATTTGATATTCTCAAAATAAAATTCACTCCTGAGTGGTTTAATAATTATGAAATCCATTAAAACACCAAACCACCCCACTTATCATTGAAGTACACTTTAACCCCTAGAAGTATGAGTTCGCGGACTGTACAATTCTTGTTGATTTTGCGTACATAAGCTATCTATGTTTATTTATTTATCTATGGGTGAACTAGTACAGAGAAGTAGCACAACTAGTCATACACCTGATCAACTACTACTTAATAAGTAGCACAACTACTCATACACCTGATCAACTACTTTCTTAAGAAGTAGCACAACTAGTTATACACCTGATCAACTACTAATTAAGAAATAGCACAGCTAGTCATACACCTGATCAACTACTACTTAATAAGTAGCACAACTAGTCATACACCTGATCAACTACTAATTAAGAAATAGCACAACTAGTCATACACCTGATCAACTACTACTTAATAAGTAGCACAACTACTCATACACCTAATCAACTACTACTTAAGAAGTAGCTCAACTAGTCATACACTAGATCAACTTCTACTTAAGAAGTAGCACAACTACTAATACACCTGATCAAATACTACTTGAGAAGTAGCATAACTACTCATACACCTGATCAACTACTACTTAAGAAGTAGCTCAACTAGTCATACACTAGATCAACTTCTACTTAGGAAGTAGCACAACTACTCAAACACCTGATCAACTACTACTTGAGAAGTAGCACAACTACTCATACACCTGATCAACTACTACTTAAGAAGTAGCACAACTAGTCATAAACCTGATCAACTACTACTTGAGAAGTAGCATAACTACTCATACACCTGATCAACTACTACTTGAGAAGTAGCACAACTAGTCTTACACCTCATCAACTACTACTTGAGAAGTAGCACAACTAGTTAAACACCTGATCAACTACTACTTAATAAGTAGCACAACTAGTCATACACCTGATCAAATACTTCTTGAGAAGTAGCACAACTAGTCATACACCTGATCAACTACTACTTGAGAAGTAGCACAACTAGTCTTACACCTGATCAACTACTACAAGTAGCACAACTAGTCATACACCTGATCAAATACTTCTTGAGAAGTAGCACAACTAGTCATACACCTGATCAACTACTTCTTGAGAAGTAGCACAACTAGTCATACACCTGATCAACTACTACTTGTAAGTAGCATAACTACTCATACACCTGATCAACTACTACTTGAGAAGTAGCACAACTAGTCATACACCTGATCAACTACTACTTGAGAAGTAGCACAACTAGTTAAACACCTGATCAACTACTACTTGAGAAGAAGCACAACTAGTCATACACATGATCAACTACTACTTAAGAAGTAGCACAACTATTCATACACCTGATCAACTACTACTTGATATTCCTTGAATCTCACTTCAAAGTCAAATACTGGTTTGTAATTTCTTCAAAATTTTAACTTCTCAGTGTCTCAAGAACTGCACTCAAGAACCAATAGAATTACAGGAAATCTGATATGCTTTGTTTTTCCCAATAAGATTGCTAAACTACAAAATATGGATAAATACTTAGTTCAAAAAACTCAGGGCTGTGCATACAGAAATTTGTGCAAGGGGGGCTTTACATTTTTGACATTTCATGATGTATACGCTCCTGTTAATACAACTTCTTTTCTTTCGTTTATATAATCCATTCTTTAAATTCATTTTTACTTATGTTAGTTATGTGTTCTTCTAAAAAAGAGAATTTTATAAAACCTTCCTACATGAATCCCAAAATTCCCAGCAAGAAGAGCAGATCATTTATAGAGTCGCTCACATTAATCCTATTAGAAGGGAATAATTCATTTAATGAATTTGAGCCGCGTCTCAAATCCCCCCAAAAAAACCGGTTTCAATTGAGCGCCGGCTTGAGTCTTGAAAAATTTAACAGGATTTTAAGTGTAACCAACCATATTTTAACCGCGGCTAAAATTCTTTAAATTCGGCCTCTGGATCGTTTTTCCGTATATATCCTGCCTGTATTTACACTGAATAACTTGCTGTAGCCGATTTACAGATTTTACAGAAACATCGGATATTAAATGCATTTGCTTACGATTGATCTGAAAAGTTTTTTTTTGCCAGTTCTCCCTTTAACGTAGATAAAAACTGTTCACTGAAGTTTATTAAGGTTGTCTTATTTTAGAAATTTGCTTTTCAAACTTATGATGAACTTGTATAAAAAGTAAAATATTTTCAAGACTTTTAAATATCCAAGAATTATTTTTACGGTTCATAGAAATTAAGAAATCCTTATTGAAGAGTATCTCCGAAGTAAATATTAAAAAAATCTTTTCTACTAAAAGTCCATCAAAAAATGAAATCAACCAGAATGATAAAGATTTAAGAGATATCTGATCTCAATATTAATGTTTTTAAATCAAAATAATGATACAAAAATACTTACAAAGGTCAAAAAAGTTTCTAGCTTGTGGAACAAAATTACAATGCCTTGTTAAATTTTGAAAAACATTTTTTTAAATATTAAAAAAAATAATTTAATGTTAGTATCAATTATAAAAAAATCATTATTTTAATTGAATGATCATTCGAGGAAGGATTTATTCAAGGAATCAAGTGTTGATTTTAAATCTTTAATTTAAATTAAAGGTAAAATTAAAATAAAGGTAAACTTTAAACTGAACCCTAAGATTAAAAGATATATAAACTAATCTTTATTAGAAAAGGGATAAAAGTCTTTGAACACCCTCAGCTGGGTACTTTTTGTGTTGGATTCTCATAACTCTGATCGCTTGATCCCGCGCGATACACTGTGCAGGATATCGGATAAAGATACACTGTGGATATCGGATAAAGATACACTGTGGATATCGGATAAAGATACACTGTGGATATCGGATAAAGATGGATATCGGATAAAGATACACTGTGGATATCGGATAAAGATACACTGTGGATATCGGATAAAGATACACTGTGGATATCGGATAAAGATTAAATCAACCCGCGGATTAACAAAAAAAAGAGATCAAGCATTGAAGTAGATTTCCCGTAGTATTAGAAGATTTCGGGTTAAAAATAAATAATGAAAGCTTTTTTTTAAAGTTGAAAAATCGGAAAAGCTCGTTGAAAGTCTTGATTTAATGTTAATCCTTAAAACATTATTCAGTTTTAAAAAACTTTATAAGGTGCAGTGAATTAACAGTATTTTGCGTTAACATAAAAATACAAAACTTTAAGTTATAAAATTTTCAATTCAAAATAGAATCTTTACCAAGATTAGATAATTAGAAAATTAGATAAGTTTGCTAAACAAGATGTTTGATGGATATATCTGAGAATAGACCTACAATGTTAACGCCATGGTTCCTGATAGTGCTGCAACCGCATTCGCGATGGTTTCAGGAGTAAAGGTAAATACAGTCAAGATAGAAGTCCAGGTAAATACAGTCAAGGTAGAAGCCAAGGTAAATACAGTCAAGGAAGAAGTCAAGGTAAATAAAGTCAAGAAAGAAGTCAAGGTAAATACAGTCAAGATAGAAGTCAAGGTAAATACAGTCAAGATAGAAGTCAAGGTAAATACAGTCATGAGTCAAGGTAAATACAGTCAAGGAAGAAGTAAAGGTAAATACAGTCAAGGTAGGAGTCAAGGTAAATACAGTCAAGATAGTAGTCAAGGTAAATACAGTCAAGATAGAAGTCAAGGTAAATACAGTCAATATAGTAGTCAAGGTAAATACAGTCAAGATAGTAGTCAAGGTAAATAAAGTCAAGATAGTAGTCAAGGTAAATACAGTCAAGGTAGGAGTCAAGGTAAATACAGTCAAGATAGTAGTCAAGGTAAATACAGTCAAGGTAGTAGTCAAGGTAAATAAGGTCAAGGTAGGCGTCAGGGTAAATACAGTCAGTAAAGGAGCTGTGAGGTCACAAAGTCGTACCAGTAGTGTCTTATAGTTTTGACCTTCTTTCTAGTGAAGTGTTAAACAGCTTTATTTAAACAAAAGTTCAGTCTTCTGTGTCGTCATTTTCTGATACATAGATTAATAATAATACGGATACTACACAAGATTTCGTCTTTTTAGGATTTAGGAGTTATCCTTCACACCAACCCTGAGGCAAACCCCAAAAAAGTTGCGCGCATGTCGCGTTGAATGACAAGACAGAGTGAGAGCATGCGCGTAATTTCTGCCTCAATGTTATTGTGAAGGAAAACCCCTAAATCTTGAAAAGACGACAATTAGTGTTCTACCTGAATTTAATATAATATTAAAATATTTAATATTTAATTATTATGATATTTTTAATTTCAACAAAATGATATAAGGAATTAAGTCTTTAGAAAAAACTTTAATCCATAAATATTTAATTATTTCAGACAAACTACTTTACAGTGGGGTTTGATAACACTATAATAAAGGGGAGTCCAGAATCCCAACTCAATGCAACAAAGGTATATTCAATTCAATACAAATATAAATACTAAGCTTTTAGGGCTCGCGCTTAGCACCCATCTGCTATTTAAACTTTTAATTGTGGCTCTATCTGTGAGGTTCTTCTTTTTGTACAACAAAAAAGTTCGCAGATTTAATAATATTTTTTCGCGCATTTCCAAAATTTAATAAAAGTAAAAATTGTAATTTTAATCATCCATAAACCTTCCCCGGGGTCATGTAAGGTCCCACACAAAATTTGGGCCTAAAATGTTCAGCCATTTTGACGTTTATTAGATACAAACGGACAGACAGAAAGGCTTTCCCATGATGTGCGTCCTTATTCTGCGTTTATAATGTGCGTCCTCCATGTTCGTTGCTAGAAATATTGTGTACATATTTTGAAACTTTTCTTGTTGTTAAATTAGGCCATTTTTGGGAAAAATTTCATGGATTTTTCAGAGTTGTAAAAATCACGGACGAGTTGGTTTTGAATAAAATTAAAATATTTAAAATATTAGATTAAATATATTTCAGGTTGACACTATTCTCCACTGGGCCCAGGAAGCAAAGATGAAAACTGGTTTGGTTACTACAGCGAGGTAAACTGGAAACCGGTTCCTCCCTTAAAGGGAGTGTTCGCGTAATTTTAAGTTAAATTTTTTTACAGGGTGACCCATGCAACCCCAGCTGCCCTTTATGCTAGAACTGCGCATAGAGATTGGGAATGTGATAGAAAAATGCCAGAGCTTAGACCAGCTAAGGTAAAATATACAATATACAATATACAGCTGGTTACCCAGGGTACACTATACAATATTCAGTGCTGGTTCCCTAGGGTTAAATATACAATATACACGTTACCTAGGGTACAATATACAATATACAATATACAGCTGGTTACCTAGGGTACAATATACAATATACAATATACAGCTGGTTACCCAGGGTACACTATACAATATTCAGTGCTGGTTCCCTAGGGTTAAATATACAATATACACGTTACAGGGTACAATATACAATATACAATATACAGCTGGTTACACAGGGTACAATATACAATATACAATATACAGCTGGTTACCTAGGGTACAATATACAGTATACAATATACAGCTGGTTACCCAGTGTACAGTATACAGTATAAAATATACAGCTGGTTACACAGGGTACAATATACAGTATAAAATATACAGCTGGTTACACAGGGTACAATATACAATATACAATATACAGCTGGTTACCCAGGGTACAATATACAGTATACAATATACAGCTGGTTACCCAGGGTACAATATACAATATACAGATGGATACCCAGTGTACAATATACAGTATACAATATACAATATACAGCTGGTTACCCAGGGTACAATATACAATATACAGCTGGTTACACAGGGTACAATATACAATATACAATATACAGCTGGTTACACAGGGTACAATATACAATATACAATATACAGCTGGTTACACAGGGTACAATACACAATATACAATATACAGCTGGTTACCCAGGGTACAATATACAATATACAGATGGTTACCCAGTGTACAATATACAGTATACAATATACAATATACAGATGGTTACACAGGGTACAATATACAATATACAGCTGGTTATATATATTATATATATATATATATATATATTTATATTTTAAGCAAAAATATATTCATTTCTTAACCAAAAATATAACCATTTTTTACCAAACAACACCGATTTTTAGCCAAAAATACGACCATTTTTAACCAAAAGTATAACCATTTTTAACCAAAAATATAACCATTTTTAACCAAAAATAAAACAATTTTTTTTTACAAAATATACAACCAGTTTTCAACAGAAAATATAACCGCTTTTTGTTAGCCAAAAATATAACCATTTTTTGACCAAAAATACAACCATTTTTAACCAAAAATATAATCATTTTTAAACCAAAAATATAACCATTTTTCAACAGAAAATAAAACCGTTTTTTGTTAGCCAAAAGTAAAACCATTTTTTGACCAAAAATACAACCATTTTTAACCAAAAATATAACCATTTTTAAACCAAAAATACTACTATTACTATACTAATAATACTATCTGGTCAATATGGAAAATACAATAGCAATATATTCTTATTCCACCCCTTGGGCCCTTTTCCCTCAAAAATGATGCGCTGCCTCTGAATTCTTTGTTTTGATCTCCTCCCACTACAGTTCACAGGTTTGACGCATCAGATATGGCGGTTCCTGGTCTATATATTTCTTGTATAATCTGCATGTTTAAAGAGCTTTTGGTCTTCATTAAATACCATTCTTTTGATCTCACATATCACATCTCAGCTTATTTTAACAAAATTGTGACTGACTCATTTTTAAACTGTAAATACATATTTCAAACATTTAAATAAAAGTTACTGAAGTATTAAAGTTTTTTTATTTCGTTCATCCAGCTGCTTCATACATTTCTGTTTTGTTTCTAGATTCCTATTCATTTAGAAATTAGAATCATATATAGTTTCTGATTATTAAAGTTTATTTATTTTAGGTTCGAGATATAACCCAGCAACTAGGAATAGTTTAAACTTCTTGAAAAATATTCGACGCTCTTGAAAAATAATGATTTTAGAAATCAAAACGTCTTTATAAGATAAAACGTAGACATTATTAATAGTTATGTTCAGTAAAAAACATTCAGAATTTAAAACTCGGGTTTAATAATAATAAAGGAATGAGAAAGACGATTACAAATTTTAAATCCTATTAATATTTCAACTTTTTAAGATTTTTAAGTAAAAAATAAAACCCAATATTTCCTTAAATACTCTTAAAGCAGAATAAATGTCATTAGACCTTTTAGAAGTCTCTTTTACTTTTAAAGAGACCCTCTCAAAACACTCTATTGTTTATAGCTTAATATCTAAATAGTCTCATCTCTTTCTGGACAGCGTCTCTCCAATTTTTGGAGACCTAAACATTTTAGTAATATCATTTATTTTTGAATAGTTTACGGCTCCACGTACATGATTATTCTCCTATTTCAGGAAAGTTTCATCCTAAACTTCGTTCTACAATGCAACAATTTTCATTTAATCCCGCCCCATTTAAAAATAATAATAAATAATAAAAATAATTTGTTATTTTTTACAAAGGAATGTCATTTACTCTCAGACAAATTAGAATCGATGGAAATTTGTCTGAGAGTAAATGATACATTTATTTTTGGAGAGATCCTTTAATTAGAAATTCATTCTACTGAATTGTCTCAGTAGTTAAACAAAAATTTTCTTGTGTTTCTGGACATTTTTATCCCAAACACTGTCCTATGCATTAAAAGTATCTTTAATTTTTGGACTAGCAGTTCTATTTTATGTGCGAGAAGTCTCTTTTAATTTTGGACATATCCTTTCTAACATTCTTATTATCTGAAAGTTCTCTTTTGTTTCTGAACATTTTAATTACAAACTCTGTCCTACGGATTAGAAGTCTCGCAGTCTAGAAGTTCGTCTTATGCGTGAGAAGTTTCTTTCATTTTTGGACATTTTCATCCCAAACTCTTTTCTACGGTTTAATATTTAACAAGTTTTTTTATTTTTGAAATAGAAATTCGCCTTCATGTCAAAGAAGTCTCTTTTATTTTTGGACATACCCTCTCTAACTCTAACTACAATTTAATATATTGAAGACTCACTTTTGTCTCTGGAAATTTTTATCCCAAACTTCGCCCTTTAAGGTCGGAAAAGTCTCCTTAATTGTGTGAAAAGTCTCATTTAATTTTTGGACAAATTCTCTAACTTGATTCTAAGGTTTACTCTGTAGTTGAGGATGCTCCTGGGAAGGATATAGATGTAGTTCTAGGAGGAGGCCGAGGTTCTTTTACTCCAGCAGAATACGAGGTAATATGTTATTATTATTATTATTTAAACAATCTATTTTCAATCTGGATTTTTCGTCAAAACTAATTGTATTTATTTCCTAAAAAAAAAATCGCCAATTTTTGTAGAAATATAAAATGTTCCGATATATTCTTATTATTTAGGAGCTACTGATCCTGTCTTCTTGTTATTTAGGAGAAACTGATTCTATCTTCTTCTTATTTAGGAGCAGCCGATCCTGCATTCATGCTTTTTTAGGAGCACTCGATCCTGTATTTTATGTTATTTAGGAGCAGCTGCTCCTGTATTCTTGTTATTTAGGAGCAGCTGATCTTTTATTTTTGTTATTTAGGAGCAACTGGTCTTTTATTCTTGTTATTTAGGAGCAGCTGATCCTGTATTCTTGTTATTTAGGAGCAGCTGATCTTTATTTTGTTATTTAGGAGCAACAGATCTTTTTTTTTTGTTATTTAGGAGCAGCTGATGCTGTATTCTTGTTATTTAGGAGCAGCTGATGCTGTTTTCACCAAGTCATCAAATAAGCTTTAACCAAGGAATCAGGTAGTTTAATCATTTCTGTAAATGGTAAAAAATATTATGTGGATTTTTTACTTATCAGGGTGTTTTAATACTTATCTCAACCTCAATAGATAAGTATAAAAATACAAACCTTATCTTAACAAGATCAATATGTTTAACTTACAGTGAGAACCAGAAAACTCTGAAATAGGAAGAAGATTTTTAGACTCAAGTTATGGCTTTAAATCTTAGGAGTGTGAGTTCACGGACTACTTCTTGGTGATAAGCTATCATATGTTTATTCATTTGTCTATGCTTTGAATGAACATGAGTTACAGTCCTTTTGCAATGGAAATAGAGTTGATAAGAGATTTAATACGTTACAAGTAAAACTATTTGCTTTAAAGGGACTGTAAAGGAAAAATGAAAGGGGATATATAGGCTAAAACCTGAGAATCTTAGGAGTTGATTGAGACCTATAAGAGTTCTATCTGATGTTCCTGTCTGTAGAAATTAATATAAAACTGTGTAAAAATGATACCAAAAACGTATATATATGTAAGATTTTGTATAAGATTTGCAATATTAAACAGATGATATTCAACAAATACGCAACCAATCTGAAAACGACGATATCCCAGAGGAGCCTGAGAAACTCAGGTTTGCTCCTATTATTATTTGAATTTAATAGTTTTCCATTTTCAATAGATAAGATTTATAATACTATTTTTACGTCCGGGTCAAGTGACCAGAACTCCAATCAATGGCAGTGCAGTATTATTGTCACAGGTTTCCGTCTGTATCACATGACCAGTATACTCCACTGCTATTAAAGGAAGTTCTGGTCACGAGATACGGATGTATATCTTACATATAAACGTTTTGGTATAATTTTGACACAGTTTTATGTCAATTTCAGATAGATGTCTTACATGTATCGTTCAACGCCTTAGATTCTTATGTTTCAGCCTGTACGGTGTACCCCCTTTCATTTTTCCTTTACAGTCCGTTTAAATACACATAATTATTGCTTTAATGTCGTCATTCGTCCTCCTATTCTACAATTTTCTGGTTCTAATTTCAGTTTATAAACATTTATTTACTTTATACTTCCTAGTTTGTGGTTTATAATTTAGTAAATTTGACTGTTCTCGGCTAGACAACAAGGACCTGGTGGAAAAATGGCAGAAATTAAACAAAAATGGCGGATTTGTCCAAACCAAATCTGGACTTAACAATCTTAACTACACCGGGGTTGATAAACTATTAGGTAAAAACTAATCTTTAAACATTTAACTGAGCTAAATGAAAATAATGAGGGATAATTTTTATTTCTAAAACTTTTTCCTATCTGAGATAATCTAAATTTTTCTTAAACTTTTATCTTTTTCTTTAGAAAATGAAATTGGAAACTTTTCAAATTTTAAGATTCACAACTGTACCCTGTAAAGCTTTTGACTGAGTAAAATTTATGGAGCTATCATTGTTATTCTTTCCAAAATTTGGTAATCGTTATTCATTGTTTCTCTTTAAAGAAAATTGACAAAAATGCTCTCTTTCTAAGTTAAAAATACGATATCTCTTTTCCAATGTTGCTCATATAAAGGTTTACAGGGTATGTCAAATCTTGTCGTTCTTTTATATTTGTCTAATGATATTAAGTGTGCATCAAAAAACATTTCTGTTTTATAATGGAATTAGCCTAAAAGTCGTTTAAACTTTTTGATACAGACTTTGGCTTTAGATCAAAGACGACCTTTAAATCGTCTCTCAACGGCCATTTTACTGGGATGTGTTTGAATCGTGCATATAACTCTTAAAATTGAGGGTTGCTAGATAATTACGGCGACATTCCCTTTAAGTATAATATTTGTTCTCCTGTAGGATTGTTCAGTTGGTCTCACATGCCGTATACGGACGAACTGACGACAGGGTTGGATATCCCTAGTCTCTCAGAGATGACAGGGGCAGCGCTAGATTTTCTTCAAAACAAGGTTACTTTCTAAATATAAAGGTCCTAAAATCATATTTTAGAGTTTAAAATTTTCAAACTAAGATAATTTGATCTTACATAATTTATAGTTAGAAATATCTAAGGACTACACACATTGGTTTGCTAAGCTGAGATCATAAAATCAGAGTATGTGGCAAAGACTCAATTACTGAGAACTCGTCACAAAACTATTATTTTCTCCATGAAAAGAATTTAATAAAATGTCTTCATTCACTCTTCTCGTTAACTGATTTAGGCTCTGATTCCAACAGCAATTAAAATGGTTTTCCCGCAATTCTTTTTTTAAAATCTAAACTAAGGAATGGTATTGTAGAATACTAAAGGATTGTGTTGTATTGTGGAGGAGCTAGATTGTCATCTTCCGCTGTCGGACCAAGCAATCAAACCAAATATAGATATAGGGTATAAATTCCCATGTTGTAACTTAGATTTAATATATATATATATATTATGTTTATATGTCTCCTTCTTTGAGTCGCTACATTTTGGTGACCCCGACGTGATTTTATGGCTGACCACTTTAAATTTTCTCTCGCCGATGTACCAAAAATTGGTTTTGACTGGGTTCCTGTGTTTTCCAAAACCAGTACCAAAGTAAGGTTTCCAGCAATTTTGAGAGTCTGTTTCAGTTTATTTCCAGCATTTTAAAGTAATGATTGACAAGATGCTGGAGGAGCCAGGGAGTGGCGTGATCCAGGCTGCAGTTCCTTTGACAACGGTTTCTGTGGAACTTCCATCCTTTTGGACCAATTCTCTGGTTCATCCAAGCAGAGGCTCAGTTTGAAAACGAGAGGATAACAGCCTCCCACACTAAGTTTACCCACTGTGTTGCAGCATTGCCCCAGGACGTGGCTTCTAGACTCCTGGACCTTGTTTGAGCTCCTCCTGCTGAGCCTTATGAGGCTTTAAGAAGACGCCTAATTCAGATGTATTCCCTGAATGATTTCCGGAGGTACCAGGCTTTGCAGAGTTTACCTTTGTTGTCTGACCAATGCCTGACAGAGCTGATGGACAAAATGTTGATCCTCCTCTTTGAAGACAAAGGAATTGAGTCTTTGGAACAAAATCAAATATTTAAACCTTAATATCTTTTGAATTCGATGTTGTAAACCTTTGATATTTCAAACTCAGATTATTTGATCTAGCAGAATTCATAGTTTGAAATATCTAAGGTCTGCAATATTTGGTTCCAAAGATATAGTGATTAGAAAATCAGAGTTTGTGGCAAAGACTCAATTCCTTTGAGCAAATTTGCACTCTTGAGTCTATCAGTGGTCCCAGTGGGATGGCTCATCATGCTGACAAGTTGTGGATGATTTGTGGACGCAGCGTCCCTGTACAAGTTTTATCTGATCAGTTTGAGGACATGTGTGGGTGTTCAGCTGAGAACCTTCAGATAGCTCTCCAGTTCAGTCCCTGCCGATTTAGTGGTCTTTTTTCCTTGCTGATGTCTCCAGCCCATCCTTGGATCTGATTTTCTCTGCCGTCACCATCTGTTAGTGGACATAGTTGGATCCTGCCTTTTAGATGCTTCAACCCTGGAACCGATACCTGCCATTTCCTTGCCTTGTAAACCTGGTAAACATTCAGAACTCTATGTTGCTCTGTTAACAACCACAGAGGAGTTTAGAGATCTTTTAGCTGAGTATCTAGATGAAATCTCTTTTAAAGGGTTTAGTGCTGCTGTTCCTAAGCATCCGGTTTGTCATTCCTTTGCTAAAGCCAGAAGGTTGGATGGTGAGAAGCTCGAGTTTCAGGAAGAAGTTTGATACTGTGGAAGCTGCAGGTGTTATTTGTCGCTCAAACTCTCCTTGGGCCAGCCCCCTACACATGGTACGATGGTTTCTGGTGCCCTTGAGGCAGTTATTACCATTTAAACACAATGACAGTTCCAGATAGATATCCTCTCCCCAACGTGGCTTATTTTACTTCTCATCTCAACAACTGTACTGTGTTTACCAAGTTAGATCTTACCAAGGGTTATTATCATGGTCCAATGGCCAAAGGTGACATTCCAATGATGGTGGTGATAACTCCTTTGGCTCTCTTTAAGGTTCCAACCCTTGTGCATCCAGATACTTCTGCAAAGGTTTCCTTCTCTGTGGATGCCCCTAGTCCTCACATTGGTGCTGTTCTTCAATAAGATGTTGCAGGTTCTTGGGCTCCTCTTGCTTTCTTCTCTAAAAAGATTTCCTCAACCGAGTCCAGATACTCCGCCTTTGCTGGGAGCTTTTTACAGCTTACTTCACTCTCCGCCATTTCCGGTTCCTAAGAGTTTGATTTATTCACCAACCACAAACCTCTAACACACGCCTTGTTTAGGTCTTCTCTACCCTGGTCTGCCATGCAGCAACGCCACTTGTCTTTCCTCTAAGAGTTCAACTGTGATATTCACCATCTCCTTGGTGCAGTTAATGTGGTAGCTGATACCTTATCTGGTCCTGGTCCTGATCCAGATACAGCTGAGGTTCTATCTACACTGTCTCCACCTACTCCTCCTTCAGTTCCAGGAATATCTTATGTAGAAATGTCCTAACTTCAACAGTCTTGTCCTAAAGTCCAAGACCTCCGCCAGTCCTGCACCCTGAAGAGTGAAGATTGTCTCTGTTTCCGTTTCCAGCTTGCCTGGGTTACTCTGTGATGTGTCTACTGGTGTCCACTGTCCCCTAGTTCCAGTGCCTTTGAGAAGAGCAGTGTTTGACTCCTTCTACCAAGTTACTCATCCTGGTAAACGTGCTTCTCAAAGACTGGTTTCCTGCAGTTTTGTCTGGCAGTTCCTAGCAAAGGATGTAAACCTGTGGACTCAATCTTGCTTCAACTGCCAACCGAGTAAGGTCCAGAGTCATGTGAAGTCTCCAGTTTATCATATTCTGGTGCCTGGACAGAGGTTCATGTGGACTTGGTTGGTATTCTTTCTCAGTCCAATGGGTTCTCCAACCTCTTCACCATCATTGATCGTTCAACCAGATGGCTGGAGGCAGTTCCTCTTCACTAAACAACAGCAGAAGATTGTGCTAAAGTTTTTCTTTGCTCATGGATTCCTATGTTTGTAGTGCAATCAGTGATTACCTCTGATCTGCACTGTGTGAGTTCCTTGAAATAATTTACTCTCCTACTACAATCTAATGAATTGAGAAGTTCAATTGTCAACTCAAGGTTTCCCTCCTTGCGCGACTTCCTGGGTCTGATTGGTTACATCATCTTCCTCTAGTTCTACTTGGCCTTCAAAGTGTACCCAGAGAAGATTAGTCAATTTCTCCCTCTGAAGCTGTGTTTGGTTCTCCTATAGTTCTACCATGCAAGTTCCTGGATAGTCCTGAGCTCCCTTCTCCAGAGTATCTCAGATGAGTCTACAGATTATAAAGAATCCTCCTGTTGCTTCGCCTCATCACAACTCAGCTCCACCATGTTCAGTTCCAGCACAAGTTCCTCCAAGTTTGCTCCGGTCAACCCATGTTTTTATCAGAGAAGACTCTTCCAAACCTCCTCTGTCTCCGCTCTACATAGGTAGCTATACCTAGTAGTTTCTTGGACTACAAAATAATTTTCTCTCCTGGTTGGTTCCAAGACTAACTCCGTGTCTGTGGATAGAATGAAGCCAGTAATAGCCTGTAATTGCCCTGGTAGGCTTCCGTTGGCTTAAAGACCTGCCTCTGCTAGCTCTGTCGCCAAGTCTTCATACACCTCTTTCGACAGCTAAAAGTTTAAAGAAGAGGGTTCTCTTTTCTCCTCCAGTCCCTGTACTGTTCTCAGCCCGGAGAAACCCAAGAAGAATAATTAGAGATAAGCATCTTGTTTCTCTCCAATCTCTCAAGATGTTGGGGGGAACCCCTGTGGATGGGCTAGATTGTCGTCTTCCATTTCCGGACCAAGCAACCGCACCAAATATAGATATAGGGTGCTATAAAATCCCATGTTGTAACTTAGATTTCAATATATATATATATATTCATTCTGTTTATTTGTCTCGTTCCTTGCGTCGCTATTATACAAAAGCTTTGTATTGTAGAATACCAATGGATTGTACTGTATGATACTGAAGCATCGCACTGTAGAATACTATTGTATTGAAGAATACTGAAAAAATTGTGTTATGGAATACTGAGATTTGTATTGTAGAATACTGAAGGATTGTATTGTAGATTACTGAAGGATTGTACTGTAGAATACTTAGGATTGTATTGTAGAATACTGAGGATTGTATTGTAGAATACTGAATGATTGTACTGTAGAATACTGAAGGATTGTATTGTAGAATACTGAAGGATTGTATACTGAAGGATTGTACTGTACAATACTGAAGGATTGTATTGTAGAATACAGAAGAGGATTGTATTGTAGAATACTGAAGGATTGTATTGTAGAATACTGAGGATTGTATTGTAGAATATTGAAGGATTGTATTGTAGATTACTGAAGGATTGTACTGTAGAATACTGAAGGATTGTTTATTAGAATACTGAGGATTGTATTGTAGAATACTGAATGATTGTACTGTAGAATACTGAAGGATTGCATAATACAGTACTGAAGGATTGTTTTGTAGAATACTGAAGGATTGTATTGTAGAATACTGAAGTATTGTTTCGTAGAATACTGAGGATAGTACTGTAGAATACTGAAGGATTGTATTTTAGAATACTGAGGATTGTATTGTAGAATACTGAAGGATTGTACTACTGAGGATTGTATTGTAGAATACTGAGATTGTATTGTAGAATACTGAAGGATTGTATTGTAGAATACTGAAGGATTGTATTGTAGAATACTGAAGGATTATATTGTAGAATACTGAACTTTCTCTAAAATATTCATCCCACTCAACTTAGAGATTTTAAACCAAGCTGAAAAAACATCCTTCTGGTTCTAACAAGTCCTTTAGTCAAAATTTTAGGCAAGTCAGTCCAGGGGTTCCTAAGTTATGATTGAACTATACAAACAAACAAACAAAGATTACTACTTTATATATATAGATAGAAGGATTGTATTATAGACATAGAACAGAGATAAGAATAGAAGGGAAATAAAACTATTTCTTCGTATGAATTTGTTCAGTACCTTTGAGTCTAAAAAGAAGTTCAATATGTACAATTCATACGCAATTACATCATAATTATGCAATACGATCCCTGGATGTATCCGTTAAAATTTCTTCTTTTTATAAAGTTTATGCTGAAATAAACTTGTTGTCAGAGAATTCATTTAGAGAAAATAAAATTTTTCTTTTATAAAAAAATGTTTGTTCCAGGGCCCAACATGTTATATAGCTCAAGTTTGTGAAGTACACCCGTAGTCAGGAAACACTAAAACGAAATGGCGGTTTACACTTTTTGCCTAATTCCACTCTATACTTATCAAGATTCTGTTTGATTATAGAGCACTGATGGATATTTTCTGATGGTTGAAGGAGGAAGAATAGATCATGCTCATCATGAAGGATCAGCAGTCAGGAATTAAATCTAATAATTTATCAAAAAAATTGATGCAAATTTTTTTTTCTCGTTTATCCGGGTTCTTTAAACTTGAGTTGAAAAATTATTCTCTGCATTTCGCCGTTTTTTAAAAGAATTTTCGACGCACAAAAATAGAAAAATTTAATGTTTAATAACTTTACTACAGGTTGTCACGTGGATTGTCAATTTTTATTTTCTAAAAGTATTAAACGTCTAATCCTTTGCAGGAAAAAAAGAAACAAGTTCTAATTAATAAATAACTTTTAATGATTCAAATTAGATAGATACAATTAAATAGATCATTGAGTGAAACTCTAGAGCTGGATAGGTAAACTATTATCATGAAGATGGAACTTTTGATTAACAATGGTGTGCATCATGAAGATGGAACTTTTGATTAACATGGTCTGCGTCATGAAGTTGAAACTTTTGGGTTGAGATTCTCGTGATTTAGCATTGATCTCCATCTACGGATTAATTTGATGTTAAAAACATTCTAATTCAGCCTGCTTATAAAAAGTCTCATTAAATTTTTAGACAAGGTCAACTTTGAAGTGTCGCAACGCCTTAGGCTTTAATTTTACCGCTCTAACTCACTTTTGCTTTTCTGTAGACCTTTACATGTACATTTTAGCACTAAGAATTTGTGGTTAGCTTTGGTTTTTAAGAAGTAATTGGCAACATTTTTAAAGATGTTTACTCGAGAGCGTGAGACCTTTAAATTACAGTGTAATGTCCAGAATGAAATTCGGGATTTATGAATGGTACGTTTTAAAAAAATCTGAATATGATTGGCATTTACGTTAACACACAATTGAAGCATACACTATCGGCATCTTGTTATTTTCTCCTTGGATCAAATCAGTCGCAATTTCTTCTTAACAAGTTGTTTTGGTCCAAGTGGTTCGGAGAATCACGTTTTCTCCTTTCATAGCATTAAACAAGTTAATTATATGTTATTAGTACACATTTCGAAAAATGTATAGGCGCAGAATTTCTTCTGGAAAATTGGGGCTTAGGCCTCCCAACCATCGTTCATCCAAGATTTCTCTTAGATTTTTCCACGAATCTACTAATCCAGCATCGATGACGCAAAACCATAGTAATTCAATTTAAACTCAATTTTCCAGGATATTTTAGATTTCACAACTTTTGAATAATCCGTTCTACTCGTATTATCTATTTAAACAATTTCTAGAACTGTAGATCTCATCATGGAGAAAATCAATCTGAAGGATACACTAGGTTAGATTTTTCTTTTTCTTTTCTAATTTATTTTTATGAAAACATTGGCTAAAGGTGGCAGAGGATATAATTATAAACACTATACAGCGGAACTGGAATTTTTAATCTAAAAAACTATTTATCTATTAACAGAATGTCAGTAACCAGAGATTTGTTTGTAAAAAATAAAACTTATTTCCCAAACTAAAGGTACATATTCTATACTTTATATAAGCCTTGTTTTTTTCTTCTAGTTCTGGTGACTGCTGACCATTCACACACAATGACCATGGGTGGATATCCTGGCAGGTAAACCATGTGGATGTCCTAGCAGGTAAACCATGGTGGATATCCTGGCAGGTAAACCATGGTGGATATCTTGGCAGGTAAACCATGAGTGGATATCCTGGTAGGTAAACCATGGAGGATATCCTGGTAGGTAAACCATGGAGGATATCATGGAAGGTAAACTATGAGTGGATATTCTGATACGTAAACCATAGTTGATATCATTTTTCAAGTCATTTAATATACCGCTTAAGCCAGGATGCTAAATCAATCCACGGCTCGTCATATTTTTCTATTTACAACATTCAGATCGTCTTAAAAGTCTCTCACCCTCCCCTCCCCCTCAAGTTGCTCCGTCCAGAATCCAAACCAAACCAAATTTTTCAGGGAAGCCGATATCACAGGTGTAGTGAAAGGGGACGATGGTTGGATTATGAAGGTAAATTATTGAAATTATTATGTTTTTTTAGTTTGTTAATTTTTATCAGGATTCTTATGACTTTAGATTATAATATAAACAATAAGTTTTCAAAAAAGCAAAACTTTATATTAAGAAATTCGGCCATAAAGGGTCCCTAGACTATCTGATATTGCAGGGGGAAGAATAATATACCATTCTTTATAATTTTAAAAACTGATGTTTTCAATTGTGGGTTCTCTACAAAAATGACTTGCGCATTTTTACTGGAGAAAAATCTTTGTGAATTATCAGAATTAAACACTTTAAACTCTAGGAAAACGTCGATATCTTCCACATTATAGATTATAGAAAGGTTCCAAGGGATCGTTCCAAAAAGTCTGCTCTGATATATTGGTAATCCGCTGTTTATAGAGATGTTATTGAATCTAAACTATAGATATTTTATCCAAACCTTTAAGCAGTATTTGTAGATTTAAGTTTCGAATACCAATTAAATTCCCAATATCCTAAAACAAACATAAACTTAGTTCATCAAAGAATATGATATAATCAGATGGAAAGAGAATAATAAGAATAACATATTAAAATCTAACCTGGGAATCCAGCTTTGCCAGGAGACTAAGTGTTTCCTATAAAAGCCAACCAACTCAACTGAGAATATTTAAACAAAACTAAAAACATTACTGTGGTTCTTACGAGTTCTTCAATAAAAATTTGAGTCAAATCGGTCAAAGGGTTTGGACATACAAACACAAACAGGGATTATCTCTTCATTTATTATGATTGCAGTTACTTTGTTATACATTCTTAAAAATATCTTCGGAACCAAATTATGAATAATTTGTCGTTCTTTAAGGGAATGGATGGACACCCTTTCCCTATACTAGGATACGCCAACGGACCAGGTTTCCTTAATCTCAGGTATTAGCGCAATAAACCCACTTTTATCTTTCAAATAAAAATGCTCTTATGAAAAATGTTGCTGATCCTGTTCGTACGATCTGAATCTAGAAAATTGTTTAAGTATAAATGTAAAACAAAATTTGTTAAACCTCATCAAAAAATATATTATAGTAGATCTATATATGGGTAAAAAGTTTGTTTTCGGCAATCACATTTATTCAAAAGTTGCAATATCCAACGCGTTTTATGCAACTGAATTAGGCGGCTGAACTGTTGTGTTTAGAATTGTAATGTTCTCAAAGAAGCAGAATTTCTTGACACATGAGAGAGGACTTAAAAGTCGTCTTTTTATTTCAAATTATTTCGGCATTTATTCGTTAATCTAATTTTTCGCATTTGAAAAAGAAATCACAAAAAAAACCTAGTCCTGTCATATCCAATATGTTGTCTGCCTTTTCTAAGCTTTCAAAATAAACAGAGATATTAAAAACTTCGTTTAGATTTCAATTTGTTTAATAAAATCAAAATTGTCTAGTTCTGAAGGAAAGCACGATATCTACGGTAATTTTATAAAAAACTAAATAGACAGCGCACATTTTGGAATTGGCAGGTGTCTTTGTGATTATTGTTTCAAGAATACTAATTGTAAAATTAGGTTAAAATCTCACAGAATTATTTCAAAGATCACAGACAATTTTCAGATGTCTCTCAATTGTCAAGAACTGAATGAATTTGAGCTAGGTCACTGAACCACCTTCAGCCAAATCAACAATCTTAAAGCACCCTTTGTCCTGATTTAAAACTAATCATGGGCAAATCCTGAACCACCGATTCAAAATACGTAGTTGAACCGTCTGTAGCTCAAATTCAATGAATCCGGTTCCAGGGATTTAATGATGTGTGATTACAAAATCTAATATCCAGCTATTTCCAAAGAAAAAGATAATAAGGATTAGGTATAACTTACAAGTATTCATTACACTAAAGTTGTTGATTAATTAAATGAATAATCTCGGATAAGTATTCATAACAACTTTAATGGCCATAATAATACGTATCAAGGTTTTTTAGTATAATTTGAGTAATGGACAGTAAAATCCGTTAATGACTATAGAGGCGAGCGTAGTGACTGTCGTTTACTTAGGAAACGATTTTTTTCTAGGGGGTGGGGGGTGGGGGAGCTTAGCCCCATAGCCCCCCGGATTACTCCTCTGATTGGAGCACATCGAGAGTAAGCAACCTTAATAAATAACCTTGATACAATACACTAAAGATGAACATAAATACACAATAATAACGAAATTTTCAGAGACAAATGGAGAATTATCAATCGAATCAATGTCAAAATATTTAAAAAAAATTTTGCTACATTTCATACAGAGGGGTCATAGCGGGGTTCATGTACACCACGAGGTATGGAATCCTGGACCCCATGAGCCTCTGCAATGCACACATGAGCCTCCCAGATTTGCTAGGCAGACCGAGCCTCCACTATGAAGATCAAAGATTATAAAAGATGAAATGAAATTCAAATTTTTTTCTCTAAAGATTTTTCTTTTCATGTAAAGAATATACCACTATATTTATAACATTTTTCATCACACATAAAACCAAGATTTAAAAAAAGTTGTTCTGTATGATGGAGCCTCGTTCACTGCATAGCGGAGGCACGGTCTGCATAGTGGAGGCTTGGTCTGCCTAGCAAATCTGGGAGGCTCGTGTCTGCATAGCGGAGGCTCATGGCGTTCGGGGTTTCCCTCCCTCACACCACACGGTACATACCAGTTCATTTCATGTACCGGGCCGAATTTCAGCTAGTGGAGGGCAAGCAGTACAGTACAAATACAGACTATATGAGGCAAAACGGGACTGTACGCGAAATGAACTATCCCTTTCTAGTTGAAATTTATGTGACTATTGCATAACTTTAACGTGCAGTTTTAAAAATGTAATAATCTTGTTTAGATTTTCACCTTGCATTTCTGACATTTTTTATAACAGTTTTGGCGATATACAGTGGTCGGAGTTTATATCAATACAATGAAGACGACTGTTCTATTGAAAAACTTATTATATTAAAAGTAAACCAAAGAGTCGAGTTTTTAATTGAAAGCTTCTCTTTGTTTCCATATGTTTTCATGCTGCTCGTACAAAACCAAAGAGAATAGATTAATAAAGAGCGGAATTAACTCGAAAAAAGTGTACAACAGCCATTTTGTTGTACAGTTTTCATACTGCAGGTGTAATTCACACATTTTTGCAATATAATCTTTTGGGCCCTGGAACAATTCTTGTTAACAGTTATTTAACAAATCAACTTTTTTTGTTAAATTGGGTCTTCAACACTGCACAAGTCTGTGTTTAATTTTTATTAGATTATTCAATTTCAGAATTTTAGTGTAAAAGTCGTCTTCTTATTCCACAGTTTTATAGGTCCCACTGTAGGAACATGTTTCTTAATAAAAACAAAACTTTTATGTGAAATTGTTTCTTCTTATTTTCAAAAGTGTACTAAAAGATGTCCTTTTTTATCTTAAAATTGATAATTTCTAAATGCAAAGCCTGCTTATCTTTAAGAGATTTTACAGCAGAGATAAAATTGACATAATTATTCCGTTTTAAGAAAACAAAATGACGATCTTTCTCTTTGTTATTGTTACAGAGTTAAAGCTAGGTTCAATGGTTGTAAATCGAACATGTTGCTCTTTAAATAGAGGAATATATGGAGACAGCCCCTTTATTTGATTCATTATTTACTCTAGAGTAAAAGAGAACCAGACAAAGGGGAACTGGGAGAGTATAGAAAGATCGAATAATTTAGGTAAATATAAAGAATTCAAAGTTCTAGGATCTAGTTTATTATTCAGTCAGAACTCTTGTTTTGCTTCATCTCGATCTTTTGTTAATCTGCAGTTTAATTTAAACTGTATATTTGATTTCGAGCATGGCAATCTTATCCAGTCAGGGGTTAAAGACTTTCATCAGTAAAAGTTGGAAACTGGATATCGAAATCAATACTTGATCTCGAACTTTTATCAATCTTCAGATTAATCTAATCTTTATTCAATGGTAATCGTATTATGTCAGGGGTTAAAGGGGGGCTTTGATCAATGGAGCTAAGTAATTGCTTGAAAGTACGAAGTAAAACGTTTTTAAAAATGATTTTACAAAAATGTTTAAAAATAACTGTACTAAAATATTTGTATTTTTTAACAAAAATTGTACTATTGTACTAGAGTATTTGTATTTTTTAACCAAAAATTGTACTATTGTACTAAAATCTTTGTATTTTTTAACAAAAATTGTACTATTGTACTAAATATTTGTAATTTTAACAAAAATTATACTATTGTACTAAATTATTTGTACTTTTTAACAAACATTGTACTTTTGTACTAAAATATTTGTATTTTTTAACAAAAATTGTACTATTGTACTAAATATTTGTAATTTTAACAAAAATTATACTATTGTACTAAAATATTTGTATTTTTCAACAAAAATTGTACTATTGTGCTAAAATATTTGTATTTTTTAACAAAAATTGTATTATTGTACTTAAAAATTATTTGTATTTTTTAATAAAAATTGTGCTATTACACTAAAATATTTGTATTTTTTAACAAAAATTGTACTATTGTACTAAATATTTGTATTTTTTAACAAAATTGTATTATTGTACTAAATATTTGTATTTTTTAACAAAAATTGTACTATTGTACTAAAATATTTGTAATTTTTAACAAAAATTGTACTATTGTACTAAAATATTTGTATTTTTAAACAAAAATTGTACTATTGTACTAAAATATTTGTATTTTATAACAAAAATTGTACTATTGGACAAAAATATTTGTATTTTTTATCAAATATTGTACTATTGTACTAAAATATTTGTATTTTTTAACAAAATTGTACTATTGCACTAAATATTTGCAATTTTAACAAAAATTGTACTATTGTACTAAAATATTTGTATTTTTTAACAAATAATTGTAATTTTAGCTGAAGGAGATTCTGCCCATTATGCGTACAATCAACCAAGTGGGATTCCCTTGAAAACGGTAACTCTTCTTTTCTATCCTATCCTGTAGGCGTAATTTCAAGTGATGAAGTATGAATAATATACCTATTAAAGAGACTGTAGACGAATTTCAAGTGATAAAATATGAATAATATACCTATTAAAGAGACTGTAGGCGTAATTTCAAGTGATGAAGTATGAATAATATACCTATTAAAGAGACTGTAGACGAATTTCAAGTGATAAAATATGAATAATATACCTATTAAAGAGACTGTAGGCGTAATTTCAAGTGATGAAGTATGAATAATATACCTATTAAAGAGACTGTAGNCCTAAAATAATAAAAAATAAATAAAAATAATTTTGATGAAAGCATGTATAAAAGTGATACGAGGGGGGGGGGTCCAAAAATCGTTCACTAGGACAGACCCCAACCGCAATTCCTTGCATTATACCCTTGTTGATTGACAGCTTCTGTTTGTCTACATGTTTGCTGTTTAAAAACTTGGTAAAATAAAAAAAATAAATAGAAAGCCGCTATTATTTTATTCATTATACGACGACGATTGTATTATACATGATACACGTGCATGTATAAATACAAAATACAATTAATGTATTTTCAGAAATGTCAAATACTTGTTAGAAGGTTTTCTACTAAAATAATTGCTACGCATATATTTGATGAATATACCATGATTTAAAAAAGATTTAAAATTAAAATGTCAGATTTTAGAATTTCTTGAGAATTTTGAATTTCAAGAGCGTGTCCATCAATTCCTAACGATATGTCAATTAGACTTAAATCATCTATAAACATGAAAATTGGAAATCAGAAAATTATGATATATAGATCGTACATAGACCGTACATCCATGTGAGTAATTTGATAAATATAGACCGTATATTTCAAGTTTTTATTCAGTATGACGTCTTAAATTTATATATTTTTTCCACCAATAAAATTTCGTTATAGTTAATAATCATTAATATAATTCTTCAGGAGAAAATATTTAAATATGAATAACAAAACATTATCGTTTATAATAACGATAATAATAAATAATTATTATTTCAAATTTATTTCCGAATTAAATTGGTGTAACTGCTTCAGCAGTTTTTAAGCAATATAAAACTGTGGTTTTCTCGACTATTTTAAATTTTGAACAAAGACAAAGACATTCTTCAGAGCTCGGATCTTTTGTGTGCATAGTCTTGATCTGGTATTTTTTATCCCTATATCCAATGTGGACACTTTTAAATTGGAGGATCAATCCTCATGATCTCTCAATTAAAAGTTGTACGATAGTGCCACTTTAAAATGATGTTAATTCGTAAGTCTGCATAAGATGGAGATACCGAGTTCACATTGGAATAGTTCTGACCTCTGGGACTGTATTTAATGAATTTAAGTTATAGGTCGTTGAACTATATCTACCGTCGAATCAAATATAGGTCGTTGAACTATATCTACCGTCGAATCAAATATAGGTCGTTGAACTATATCTACCGTCGAATCAAATACTTCTCTATAGTTCTACACTCTACAGGTGTATTTATAAAATCCTAAATCAACGATTCAAGTATACGCGGTTGAAACGTCTCTAGACCTGGCTCAAATTCATAAAATTCGGTCACGAATATTCATTTATCGTTCTAATTGTTAAAATCTATAAAGGAAACGCATGGTGGAGATGATGTAGGTATCTGGGGTATAGGTCCTCTCACACATCTTCTTCATTCTACACATGAACAAACATATATAGGTCAGTTGTACCAACATGGTGGACCATATTCATACAGTGGTAATCAGAAAATAGTGGAACGATTGTCGTCTTCTTTCTTTCCTTTAAATATTATATATTGTACTTTATTTCTAACATGTTTTATATAAAAGTTTGTTTCTTTGCATTTCAGATCATAACTCATGAACCCCTTGACCGATTTGCCTCACATTTTGGTTGAGTAACTAATTAGAATGTTTTTTTTTAATTTGATTATTTGTTTAGGTCTCCATGCAAAGTTGGGTTACCAAGCTAGTTTTTGTTTATTTATGCACAAATTACAAAAGTCCTTTGTGACATCTTTATGCAGAAAACATTCAGATGATTATCATTCCATCGTTTTTTAGTTCCTACTGATGCAATCCTAATTATGCTAGTCTGTCATGATTTTTCCCAATTATGCAGTAAATACCCGACGGCTACGTGACGTCAAAGTTAAAAATATGCGAATGAAAGGAATTGAGTTGTTGCCACAAACTCTGATTTTCTAATCCCTATATCTTTGCAACCCAATGTAGTAGACCTTAGATATTTCAAAATGTGAATTGTTATAGATCAAATAATCTTAGTTTTTAATATTAAAGGTTTACACAATCAGCTAGCAAAGATGTAGGGATTAAAAAATTAGAGTTTGTGGCAAAAACTCAACTCCTTTGTTGGTATTAAAAGGGTCGGATACAGCCGGAGAGCATTTCTCCCCTGAAGAACTGTGCGTTTTCCACAATCCAATTACAATATATTTGCAACCTGATGGTGTAAACGTTGAATATTTGATCGAAAAGAAATCATAGATTGAAAAATCAAAGATTACGACATCAGGTTCTTAAGATATAGGGATAAGAAAATCATAGTTTGTGGCAAAAACTCAGAGTTTGAATGATTCTGTTGCTCCCCTCTAATAAATTCCTGTATTCGTCCCTGTGATTGGTTTTTAACAGCTTGTAATCTAACCTAACCTAATCTAATCTAATCTAAACCTTATAATCGTGTGTTTTAAAGTTTTTTCTATGAGAATGATTAGGTTTTTTAAATCTATGTTTTGTTTTAGCTCATCTGATGTCCCTGGCTGGTTGTATTGGTCCGTACAAAGATACCCCTAGATGTACAGCACTACATAGAACATAAACTCTACAGCATTATCTACAAAATAAACTGTACAGCACTACATAGAAAATAAACTCTACAGCACTACATAGAAAATAAACTCTACAGCATTATCTACAAAATAAACTGTACAGCATTATCTACCTAGAAAATAACCTGTACAGCATTACCAAGAAAATAACCTGTACAGCATTATCTAAAAATAAACTGTACAGCATTATCTAGAAAATAACCTGTACAGCATTATCTAAAAAATAAACTGTACAGCATTATTTACAACATAAACTGTACAGCATTATCTAGAAAATAAACTGTACAGCACTATCTACAAAGAAAATAAACTGTACAGCATTATCTAAAAAATAAACTGTACAGCATTATCTAGAAAATAAACTGTACAGCATTATCTAAAAAATAAACTGTTCAGCATTATCTAGAAAATAAACAGTACAACACTACTTAGAAAGTAAACTGTACAGCACAATAACTTAAAAAATAAACTGTACAGTGTAAGTTTACAGTACTACGTTACAGTAATTTAAAAACCGAATATATACCATTGCTAAATTCTAGATTCAATTTGATGACAGCAAACTTTCAAAAAAACTGTAGAGAAAAGAATATTTTTTTTGAGACTAATAAAAAATACCTGGAATTGTTAGATTTACAATCTGAACAAAATTAAATGTAAATTGGAACCCCTATAGAGAACTAAGATTTGTTCAAAAATTACTTTTTAAGAAAGGAATACACCCCCCCCCCAAAAAAAAATTAAATGATTACTTTTTATTCGTTTTCTAATATGTGTTCCAATTAAGTGAACCAGGAACCTAGAGTATGGAACGAATGGTCCAGGAACCCCGGATATAGAATGAATAAAGTCTAGGAACCCCGGATATAAAATGTATAAGGTCCAGGAACCCCGGATAAAGAATGTAAAAGGCCCAGGAACCCCGGATATAGAGTATAAAAATTCCAGCCCGGATCTAGAATCAGTAAGGTCCAGTAACCCTGGATTATGTATAAGGTCCAGGAACCCCGGATATAGAATGAATAGGATCCAGGAACCCCCAAATACAGATTGAATAAAGTCCAGGAACCCCGGATGTAGAATTCAAAAGGTCCAGGAACCCTGGATATAGAATGTATAAGGTCCAGGAACCCCGGATATGCTGATTCCATGGTAACAATAGAATGTTTAAGGTCAGGGAACCCCGGATATAGAAGGTATAAGGTTTAGGAACTCCGGATATAGGATGAATAAGGTCCAGGAACCCCGGATATAGAAAGTAAAAGGAACGGAAGGGAGCGGATATTAGATTTGACATTTGCCTGGACCCTGGGTGTTCTCAGGGACAGTCATTAATTTTATAAGTTTTCTCACCAGATTTCTGTCAAGTGCTCTACAACAGGTCACATGACAAGCTCACCGACACAGCTAGTTGAGTATATTCTCTGTGTGTTCAAGCTAATCGAGTTAAGAATGTAATATTGGATATTTCTTGACACGCTAGAGTTTCAGACAAATATTTAACGTGAGACTCAAATATTTTACAATACTTGACATTGTGTGATATATGGGAGAGGAAAACTTTCATTTATTGTTGAAAGGAAAAAAAGTAAAATTTTTTTTAGCTTTAAACGGGTTTCCATTTTCTTGACCCAAAGGGTAACGTGGCGCAACGAGGGGGCGAACTTGATTTCGCCGCCCCCCCTCAACATATTTCGCCCTACCCCTCATTCTAATCTGATATGATCATGATTGTGACCATCATTTATCAAATTTTCCCAATAAAAGAAAAAAATTTCATTTTAGTAGAATTTCTTAATATTTTCACCTTTTTTAACTTGAAAAAAGGAAATCAGACTTAGTTTATCTACATTTATTTATGCACATACATCTAAACAGTTTGTTTTTAATCTTCCTGACAGAAACAATCTCAAGGAATAATAATTGTCATATAAAACATTTTTCAAAAAGTGAATATTTGCAAATTATCTTTTTTCCATCTCATGATCGGAGTTCGTTTCCCTTTTTTTGTCCATTTGACAGCCCAATTTTTTAAATAATCTTTTTTGTTTGTGGTTTTTAACAATTTTTTTTTTATCCATTTTGATGGTTATTATATCGATAGAACTAATGAGGGTCAACCAAAACCGAAATATATTTTAAATTAAATGTGGAACTAACATCTACTTTTTTTTACACTACAGAGGTTTGGTCCATCATACTATATATTTAAGGATGCAGAAAACTGAAAGTTTTCGACACGGGGGGGGTCTAGTTTCACCTCCCCCAAACCCTTGAAACACCCCCCCCCCCTCTCACAAAAGTGATAGCTCACGCACCTCTGACCTATTAGCAAAAGTAAATTAGACCCAAAGTCTGACCGCGTCAACCTTGTTGCACCAGCTAGTCCTTTCGAGTGTCTGCTTTACTAACCCAATGTCCGGCCGATACAGTACAAACTGGGACCAAAAAGGTTGACCCGGCTCGGAAATTCAAATGTACTACGACTGCCCATGAGCTGCGCCCCCGCCAAAGGGCATATCTGTTGTTTCTAGGGAAACGATTAACCCCCAGTTCATCATTTGTTGCAGTGTATCTGTGTTCTGTATTCATCAATATTATAAAAAAATATTAAATATCTAATTCAGGAAATTGAAGCCATGTACATGTTTTCCACAGGAGAAATCCTACACTAATTCCATATTTGTAATTTTTCATTTTAAGAGACTGTTTAAATAAAAATAAGTGTTATGAGGATTGGAATCAAATACTGCTCAAAGCGTATAAAGCCTTTGATCTCTTTCCATTGTAAAGAATTGATGGAGATCATTTATATTTAGATTCATATTTATATTCATTTGAAATTAATTTCGAAAGAAGACAAGACCGAATATTGGGAAACCCAAGTCAGAAATAATTCTGCAGCTTTTTTCACTACTTGCACAATTTTGTTACATCTGTCAGTACTTTTATGACAAAAAAAAGAGTGAGAGAAACAAGTTTAGACTTTTTTGTTTTGGACACCCTAGATGTTGTGTAACACCCTGTTTCTGTTTTGGACACCCTGAAGATGTTGTGGAACACCCTGTTTCTGTTTTGGACACCCTGAAGATGTTTGGAACACCCTGTTTCTCTTTTTGACACCCTGTAGATGTTGTGGGACATCTTGTTTCTCTTTGGACACCCTGTAGATGATGTGGAAAACACATTGTTTCTGATTTGGACACCCTGTAAATGTTGTAAGACACCCTGTTTCTGTTTTGGACACCTTGTAGATGTTTTGGGACACCTTGTTTCTATTTTGGACACCCTGTAAATGTTTTGGGACGCCTTGTTTCTGTTTTGTACACCCTGTAAATGTTTTCGGACACCTTGTTTCTGTTTTGGACACCCTGTAAATGGTGGGAAACCTTGCTTCTGTTTTGGACACCCTGTAGATGATGTGGACACCTTGTTTCTGTTTTGGACACCCTGTAGATGATGTGGAACACCTTGTTTCTGTTTTGGACACCCTGTAGATGTTGTGGAACACCCTGTTTCTGTTTTGGACACCCTGTAGATAATGTGGAACACCTTGTTTCTGTTTTGGACACCCTGAAGATGTTGTGGGACACCCTGTTTCTGTTTTGGACACCCTGAAGATGATGTGGAACACCTTGTTTCTGTTTTGAAGACTCTGTAGATGATGTGGAACACCTTGTTTCTGTTTTGAAGACTCTGTAGATGATGTGGGGCACTCTCAACATAATTAAACACCCAGTAAATTATACGGAAAGCCCGTAGATGTTCTGGGATTGATCGGAAGTGAAGATACAAGTGTATCCCAGACTATTTACATATATATACAATATTATTCAAATGTGTCTTTGTTTCTGGTTTGGAAACTTTACTCTTCAAAGGGTGCACTATATATAACTGTGTATACTACATACAATGAAGTGTATTACAGGAGAAGATATCCTTTGTTCAGTCTTTAGGTTTTACACATAAAGAAAGGAAACGAAGAGGTAAAGCTTACCTCAGATGTACTCAATCGACCTCTCCTTTATATAAAGAGAATTCGAGGATGTTGACTGCAAACATTTGACAATTTTCTAATTTGAAGGTTTTCAATTTATTAGCTAAAAGGTCTGTAAAAAATATTAAGTTTTTGGGCATGCCTTTATCTAATTATCTATACGAGTATTCAATTATCTCTACATTTTACCACCCCCATGTTTCATTCCATGAATCATTTGTCATATTTGGACATCAAACATGAAATTTAGAGGGAGGGGGGGGGGGGGGAATTAACCCCCCCCCTGAACGTATCCTGGTTTTCAAGTACCTCAGCAGGGATGGATTAAGATAGCCCATAAACTTTTGTTTTTTAAACTACAGATCTAAAAATTACATTTTTGAAAAGCCCTTGAAAAATGGATTTAAAAAGAGGTGTGTTTATAGGGTTAATATAGTGTTTGATAAAATTTGCATCAGAGGGGGGAGGGGGGAGGTCATCCATATGACGGGCTCTGGAGATGAGATCTGCATTAATATTTATATTACCACCAGCGATTATTTACGGCTTGAGCTTTCGGATTCAAGCTGCATCTTATTTTCCACAGATTTGAGTTCAAAAAACCGGTTTAATATTCTATTTGGCAGATTTTCATGGCAGGAATTGGCGCATTCCGGGTTTTATGCGAAAAAGACACAACATAGAGCCTTATTCTCCACTAAAATCAACCAAGGTCGGTTTTATTTTAATTAGGCCTTACTTCTTAAGTTGAGCCGAAGATCTTGCAGCTGTCAATCACGTGACGCAAGCTGTCGTCAGAGTTGGATTTTAGATTGGGTTTTAAAGCTGGGCTTAAGCAATTACGGCTTGAGCCGAAGTTTTTAAATCGCGGACTCTGATCTATGAGTTACCGTAAAGTCAAATTGTTGAATGAAATCTATCCAGCGGCGAATTGTTTCTCCAGAATCTTTCATTGTAGACCAATGAAGTATTGTGGTGGAATCCGTCACGACATGAAAATGAATCATATTTTCGAATTATTCAACATCAGATGTTTACACTGTCAGGTCGAGAAGATATAAGGATTCGAAAATTAGAGGGATCATTGATTAGTCTGGCCATGTCGTTAGTGGCCATTTTTGAGTTGAGTATTTAAACTCTACAATGAAATATACAGTTTTCTTTTGGGTCAAAAGGAATTTCAAACACCGAA